AACCTTGCATAAACGTTGTACATTTGCTGTTATGTTAAACTTGTATTAAAGTTTTCTTCATTACCCATTCAAGCCGTCTCCTACCATTATCATTCATCAGTTATTGTTCTGAACATTAACATTTTAATGAATTAATTCGTTCATATTAAAGTAATTTCTAGTCTCTAGCCCTAATATTCACGATAAAATTAAGCTTGACTGCATGCGCTTTCAATTTATTTTCTATCTTTGAACAATGAAACGTTAAATTTTTATTTATTACAAACTTTAAAAGAAGAAACGTTGGGCGATGAATACATGGCCACTTTCATGATATAACTGAAACGTTGGGTGATGAATACATGGCCACTTTCATGATATAACTGAAACGTTGGGTGATGAATACATGACCACTTTCATGATATAACTGAAAAGTTGGGTGATGAATACATGGCCACTTTCATTATATAACTGAAACGTTGGGTGATGAATACATGGCCACTTTCATGATATAACTGAAAAGTTGGGTGATGAATACATGGCCACTTTCATGATATAACTGAAACCTACTTTATCGCGATCATATATTTGATGCTACATGTCTACTGAGCATGAAAAGTTGAAATATACAAAAAGTTACAAAGTTAGAGGTAAAAACACTATGAAGAACACATACCCTGTTTTAAGATGCTTTAAACAGGCATAAAAATACTTCGTGCATATAATTAGGGTTTATTTTCTTTTAATCTTGTGTTACTTCCTAAACGAATAATGTTCTATGCAACGTTCTTTATCTTGGAAACGGATATCAAGTCTGAACGATAGAACAATATTTTCTTCTAAATGTGTTTTTAAGAGAACTAATTAATTATTTCGTTTGATGAGAACCTAAGAGTTTAAGCTAAAAAGGTAGTATTGTCACAATAAAGAACAAAGAGAGTCATAGAATGATGTTTAACAAGACAATATTTATTATTAACTGATGAGAACTAAGAGTTTAAGCTAAAAAGGTAGTATTGTCACAATAAAGAACAAAGAGAGTCATAGAATGATGTTTAACAAGACAATATTTATTATTAACGTACTTGAAAACTCATTATTACAATTATTTATAATATATTTAATTACAAAATATAGAAATGTGTTTGACGTTATACCAATAAGAACACAATTGAAGTTTAACTATAATTTTTTTATGCTATCAGAAAACAAATGTACAGTGACTAGAATGAAGAAAAATATTTGGTTATTTTTCTATTAAGGGAGTTTAAAGTTTTTAATAGGAAGTTGTGTTTCTAAGACCAAAAGAAACGCGAAAATTTAACCAAAACGTCAGAGGTAACGATGAAAGAAAATTTACCAGTTTCAACTAAAGCAAAGTCTTCAGGTATTCAAGTCATCATTCTGCTTCACTATTGTTTCAGGACGCAACTTGAAACACAGTTGCAGTTAATTGGACTTACATGGGTTTAAATGGTAACCTTTGTGTCGTCTCTCATGGTTAAAACACAACAATGAGAGAAAACATTGAAAGAGACGTGAAGTAAGTATTTACATAATTAGTATGACAGTGAAAAACGTTCATGAAACCACAGTGAGCATGTTAAAAACTGAAAATTGCCAAGTAATGTTTTAGGCTACCATTTTTCTTCAGATCTAATGATATTATATTGAATGTTTGACACAATAAAAAGTATGTAAACACATTGAAAATCACACAGTGAATAAATAGTATATAATATTACATCTAGAGAAATAAATAAGTAATAGTAATACAACGTTATGTAAAGCATTGCTTTTCACATAGAATGGAGCACCTCAAGACGGCGGATATAACTTTAATCGAAACTTTGCGATACACATCACAAGTGGAAGTTTAATTACCCTTCTTAAAGCGCTACATCAATAACAATATCTAAAAATTGCTTAGATGAAATAAACGAAAATGGTAATAGAGAGATATGAAATGTGTTTAGATTACAAGAAGGAAGAACTTTGACAAAAAAATCTGTCATTCTAGAGTTAGTTTAACGAACAACATCATTACAGAGAGACGACACTTCGATACCCTTGCATCTGGAATCTTGTAAATATTAAACAAGGCATCCTCTTCTATCATTTCATTGGCCATATTGTTCTTTAAAACATCTGTCATTCTAGAGTTAGTTTAACGAACAACATCATTACAGAGAGACGACACTTCGATACCCTTGCATCTGGAATCTTGTAAATATTAAACAAGGCATCCTCTTCTATCATTTCATTGGCCATATTGTTCTTTAAAACATATATCCCAATTGAGGTTTCTTCAGTTCATTCGAATAGAAGGTTCTAAGTTTATATATCAGTTGGTCTTTCAACTTAAATTTTAAAGGCTATTTTTAAATAAGAGAATTTATACCGTTATAGCAGTGTAGTGTTGTGCGCATGACACATCCAGGTCGTTCACGATGTAGGCTTCAAGCTTGTCTTAGAAATTAACATGGAATTTTAAGGTACTGTGATATAACGTTTTGTAATCCTTTCATGAACAGACCAATCTCAAGTTACTGTTTATAATTAGACAGATCAAATAGTAGGTTATTACTTTAAAAAAGCTGTACGTGAATAAACACTTTGTGCTGTTGCTGTACTGTTTATATTTGTTTAGTTAGAATGTTCAAAATGCAAATACTATTTGTATATTTATAATTCTAAAATAAATATTGATCTATACACATATGGGTCCTTGCTATATCTTAGCTTGAGGCTCGATCTATATACATATGGGTCCTTGCTCTATCTTAGCTTGAGGCTCGATCTATATACATATGGGACCTTGCTCTATCTTAGCTTGAGGCTCGATCTATATATATATGGGCCCTTGCTCTATCTTAGCTTGAGGCTCGATCTATATACATATAGGTCCTTGCTCTATCTTAGCTTGAGGCTCGATCTAGATACATATGGGTCCTTGCTCTATCTTAGCTTGAGGCTCGATCTATATACATATGGGTCCTTGCTCTATCTTAGATTGAGGCTCGATCTATATATATATGGGTCCTTGCTCTATCTTAGCTTGAGGCTCGATCTATATACATATAGGTCCTTGCTCTATCTTAGCTTGAGGCTCGATCTAGATACATATGGGTCCTTGCTCTATCTTAGCTTGAGGCTCGATCTAT